ATAAATAGTTGTCTAGGCAAAATAATCAACAACCATTGGCTGAATATCATCAACAACAACGTACTGTGGGAGAGGACAAACCAGCTTCCGTCTGTGGAAGAAATTCGGAAAAGACGTTGGAAGAAAGAACACTTTACGTTGGGAAATAGATGATGATATGAAAATGATGAATGTTAACTGGAAAGAGGTGTAAAAGATTATTGAGGACAGTGTTGGATGGAGAGTGTCGGTGTCTAGTGTATGCTCCTCTACGAAGGGTAACAGGAGTAAGTGATATTTGATTGTACCAAATGTATTTCAAGAGACTGAATCCAATGACAGCGAATAAGTGTCTAGTAAATATCATTTACATTCACGTAGATGGTCAATGTAATAAAATTATTTAAAAGAAGCATTTGTAATTTTATTTATTTTTGTGAAAAAATATTTTAATATCAGAATGGGGCTTTGTGGATATGATAGTAATTTTAACAGTTTAGATCATGAATCAGTTGAAACGGCCGTCTAGTGCTTCCACATATTCAATGGTGGTCTAGCTTCAATTCATTCATGATCTCAACTGTTAAAAAGAGATATTTTCTCAAAATAATACAGCATTATTTTGAAATCACCATACTCTTATCTAATTCTATGTTTTTAGTATGTTAAAGGTTTGAGCAGCGATTATCAAGCAACATCATTCTGTACACATAAAAAGAATATCGCATTATCACGTAAGTACTCTGTATTTTTCTGCATAGTATACATTTAGCGTAAAATCATATTTTCATCAACAAAGGCGAGACTATAATTTATAGACGAGTCAATCAGGTAAAAAATGACAGGTCTTTGATATTGGCGCGAATTTCACTGATCCATCAATTCTGAGATGTAGGCACATCCAGCTGACGTATCCCAAATAGGATGAAACGTGCTTCTTGAATTCCACTGATAGCCACTACCCATCGTTGTTTATAATTAGAATAGCCGTTTATATTGATCTGTATTTATTTGTGTATTCATTTATTGGTAAATAATTTTTAGAACAGTAGAGTTTATAATGTTTCATTATTGATTTCTGTCTAGCTCTTGAATCGTTAAGTTCATAATTATCATGAATAGTTGAACCTTGTTTATCAGCCATATATTTTATTCATTTATATGTAAGCCACAATGTGATACTACCTGTCTTATGAAATAGAATTAAGTGGAGTGACTTTAAAACATACTTACTTGCTGACGCCTGTTACTTCTAATGGAGCATAGGCCGCCGACCAGCATTCTCCAACCCACTCTATACTGGGCCTTCCTTTCTAGTTCTATCCAACTTTTGTTCAATCTTCTCATGTCTGTCTCCATTTCTCGGCCCATTGTGTAATTTGGTATTCCTCTCCTCCTTTGGCTTTCAGGATTTCATGTCATGGCTTTTCTTGTGAAGCAATTGTCTGCTTTCCTTGATGTTAATCTGATCCACTTCCATCGCTTCTTCCTGATTTCCTCATCCGCTGAAATCTAGTTTGTTCTCTCCCATAGTAGAATGTTACTGATAGTGTCTGACCAACGCAGCGGAAGTATTTTGCGTAGACAACCGTAAATAAACACTTGTGTCTTATGGATGATAGCTTTCGTAGTTCTCCACGTCTCCGCTCCATGCAGTAGAACTGTCTTGACATTTGTGTTGAAAATTCTGATATTGACATTGATTGGCAATTGTTTTCAGTTACATATATTCTTCAGTTGTAAATACGCTGCTGTTGCTTTGTCGATCTGTGCCGTCACATCTGCATCAGATCCAGCGCGTTCATCGATGATGCTGCCAGATATTCAAATGGTTCCCCATCCTCCAATGCTTCTCCATCAAGTGTAATTCGATTGGTGCATGGTGTATTGTATCGGAGAATGTTGCTTTTCCCTTTGTTTGTATTGAGACCTACTGTTTCTGAGACTGCTGCTATACTTGTCGTCTTCTCCTGCATTTGTTGTTGCGTGTGTGATAGAAGAGCCAGATCATCTGAGAATTCTAAATCGTCCAGCTGCATCCTAGTTGTCCATTATATCCCGTGCTTCCCTCCAAGTGATGACATATTCATGATCCAGTCGATCACAAGGAGAAAGAGAAAGTGTGAGAATAAGCAACATTACCTAACAAAGGTCTTTACCTCGAATGAGTCAGTGAGTTATCCTCCATGAACAATTTGGCAGTTTAATCCATCATAGGAATCCCGTATGATATGGACCATCTTCTCAGGTGCGTAGTAGTGTCGAATAAGCCTCTATAGTGTTTTCCTGTCCACGCTATCAAATGCCTTCTTTCAGTCAATGAAGTTGATGTAGAGTGATGAATTCCATTCAATTGATTGTTTCACAATGATCCGTATTGCTGCGATTTGGTATGCACACGATCGATCCTTACGAAATCCAGTCTGTTTTTCTCGAAGTTGGGCGTTTAAAGAGTCCTTCATTCTGTTTAACAATACTCCGTTGAAGACTTTTCTTGGTATTGAGAGAACAGTGATGCCCCTATATTTATCACATTTCTTTGGTATTTTGATCAGAAATCCTTCTTTCCAGTCTGTTGATACTTGTTCTTCATCACAAATCTTACTGAAGAGAATGTTGAGAATTTTTGCAGTTGCTGCTACATCTGCTTTCAATGCCTCTGCCGCAATGTTGTCTGGTCCCGCTGCTTTGCCGCTCTTGATTTGTCTAATGGCCATGCTGACTTACAACATAGATAAATTATCGCTGACATAGTTTGGAGAGCAGAAAGCTATCTTCATTAGACTTCTAAAACTGTTCTGTAAAATGTAGAAAAATTAAGAGCGTTAAATAACCATAAATAAGAAGTGTATGGAAATATTGTTAGGCGTCTTTCACCTAACCAGATATTTACAATGTTAATTTATCTGTATACTTAACTTGTTATTCTGAATAGATAGGAAATAATTAATCCGTTAGTTAAAACTTATTTTTTCATATCAGGTAATGGCACTAACCGATACTATCAAACATATGGGCCAACATCAATTTGTGTTGCACATAGAAGTGTTTGGACTTACACCGACAGACATGTATATTCATTAGGGGAATATTTGCAAGGAAGTTGTCACAAGGTACAGTTTCGTTCTTTCCTACATTTTTGTTATCTACTGAGGTTTTTAAAGACAAGACCAAACTTTCAAGATGATATAAACGTTTGATGATTTTTAATTTTGATAGTTGGCATTACTGAAAATAAATTTTAAAAAATGTTATAAAACAGAATATCTTTGCCTTGAATTCGATCTTCAGAGTGTGGTCTACTAACAACATATCACAGAATAATTTGTAAGACAGCTTCATAGTCATTAAATTTATCTGTAATATATGTTCTTTATAAATTAAATACTATTTTACTTCAGAATATTCAGAAGGTACTTTTTCTTATCTGTTTAGTGTATTTCAAATGATATGCTCCTTGATCATTACACATTATTATTATTTTATTGCTAAATAAATTGTTTATCTTACTTTGAAGAAGTGGTTGACATTAATAGCTGTTACATATTCACTTGTTGTTGTTTACTTATATCCTCACATTGATATTTAGGACTACGATTGATCAAACTCTTATTGACTATATGTACATACCGTGTGTATTACCTCTATATTGCCTGAAATCATGAGTTTTATAAGCAAAGATGGATATTGGCTAGCAGTGGAATCCAGATTGACGCGCGTTTCTTCCAATTATGGCTCGTCAGCTGAGTGCACCTGCATCTCTCGGACTCGAACTTAGTACTGTTCGCTTCAAACTACAACAAGTGAATAGTACTTTACCCCATTGCACAATTAGGTGGCTATCAGGACTCAGTAGCTAAGTGGGTATGGCGCTGGTGTTTGAAGCAAACAGTACTGAGTTCGAGTCCCAGAGTGAATATCAACTTTGAGATGAAGGTACATCCAACTGACGAGTCTCAAATAAGATGAAAATCGCGTTCTGGATTCCATTGCTAGCCACTATCTATCCTTGCTTATTTAGCTGTTTCATGGTTTTAAAACTGAATATGATTTCTCGAATATAAATATGATAATAACAGTTCAACCGTGATTATCATCTTTACATTTATGCTGCATTGTCTAGAAATTAAATATACTTATAGTTTTCAGTTTTGTGTTTGAAAAATTATATTGTAATAAAAAGTAAAGTAAAGTGTGTTGGATCCATTTTGCGAGTGAAAATCCCTCCATGCATACACTTGTGATTTCTTCCTTACGTTTTCTTTATTTGTTTTTGCTGTTAACATTCTTGATGCTAATTAAGACTGTAACGTTCAATTTTTCTTGACTTAACTATCGTTTTTTATTGAGTCTCTACGTTCCTCACTGAATTGTATACAGTTTGTTTTAATTGCTACTATTCTGGCATCGGCCATATTGGCTGCTCGCTTTTGATTGTGCGGTTTGAACTTGACTGGGATCGTGCATTTTTGGTTGTATTTGGAGCACCTTCCCAGAAATTGAAACACTTGGTGTTATAAAATAGCCGCTCAAACGAAATCTCACTTGATCTATCCAGAAAGGATAGAATAACGTTTACCTTTCGGTGCTTTTGGTAGTTTTCATATATTTCTTATCACCTTGCTATTTATTGTAATTTAGATTGGATATTTTTGTATCAATTGTTGGTTGAATAACCGGGTGATAATATTCGTTTAGGTAAATTTGTGCATTTGTATATATGATGAATTACAGAACCGTGTCAAATATATACCTTGTTTTGATTTGAACTGAGACACGAGTGTCTAAAGCTATCTAACGGTTATTCGGCCACATCCAGACCTATTGAAATTTAGGTTTGGATCCTACAGTTGTAAACGAATATTGGTTAGCTCCTTGGAAGAACTTACAGTTCTACACGAATATTGGTTAGCTGCTTGGAAGAACTTACAGTTCTACACGAATATCGGACGGTTGGCAGATTTTCCGTGCCTACAGTCCTGAACAAAAATTGGTCGGTTTGCAGCTTGGTCCGCGCTCACAGTTTTGAACCAAATTTGGTCGATAATTCGAGATGCCCAACAATCGTACAAAGAAGTCAATCCCGAAGCTGGTCGGAGAGGATGAAGACAAGGTTAATGACAAATCCCTTAGTACAAAGCAAGTTTTTTCTGATGTCTTTACGCCTCATGGTTCTAATGTATTTAAAGAGAGCTATAGTGATAGTGATAGTGACGTAATGTTAGATAAGGTAGCGGATCTTAGTTTAGATAAAGGGGAAAGACTTCGGCATGCAGTCTCGGGCACAACACCTAAGGTTCCTATAGTTGGGTTAGAGCTACCGAAAGTTGAATTGTGTTATTTTGATGGAAAACCGAAAGAATATTGGAAGTTTATAAAACAATACGATACTTACGTTGCTGCTAGAGTATCTGACGATAGTCAACGTTTACTATATTTGCTCCATTATTGCAAGGGTAAGGCGAAGGCAGCCATTGAAGGATGTGTAATGATGGAGGCTACGTTAGGGTATAATAGAGCTAGAGATATTTTGAAACGATTGTTCGGTCAAGCTCATGTCATAGCAAGAGAGACGTTAGAGGATTTATTCAATGATGTAAAGCATGGTTGTCATGACGCAGAGCAACTCTCAAGTTTAGCAATAAGGATGGAAAATTGTAGCATGATTTTAGAGCAAATGAACTACACTGCCGACTTGAATTCGCTGGTTACATTAGAGAGAGTAGTAAGATTTCTGCCTCAACCTATGCAAAGACAATGGGCTGAACTTGTAGATAGATTGACGGAAGATGACAGAGAGCCAACGTTCGCTGAACTCACTCAGTTTGTGGCAGCTAAAGCGAGAATCGCTGCGAGTAGGTTTGGACGATTGGCTGAACGTCCAAGAGGGGGAGTTACTACTAAATCATGTTATCATTCCGTATTGAGACCGAAGAATGCATCGATCGCAAGTGCTAAGTGCAGTATGTGCTCAGGGGATCATTCGGTTTACGAGTGTAGACAGTTCTTAGCTCTCACGACAGAAGAACGTTTGTCGCACGTCAAAAGTAAGAGTATTTGTTTCGTATGTCTTAGACAAGGGCATAAAGCTAATGAATGCAAAGTGACGAGATGTTGCGCCATTGAGGGATGCTCTAAGAGACATCACTCTCTGTTGCATAAGGGTTCAGCAAAGAATAAATCAGAAGATAAACTGGCTACGGTAAACTATTGTGGACAAGATAGGCCAGTGAACAGTCACGTGTGTCTGGGAACGATCCCTGTAAGGTTGAGAGCGGGAAACGCTGAGGTTGTGGGGTATGCACTTTTGGATAATGGCTCTGACGTAACCTTAATTACTTCAGGATGTTTGAAGTTACTGGGGCTGAATGAGGAAGAGTCATCAGTGACTGTGCAAACTGTGAGCGGTAATAAGGCAACACGCGTCACAAAGACACCTTTTGAAGTGTACTCCTTAGATCAATCTGAGCACGTCAAGATTGAGGGAGCCCTGATAGTGTCCCAAATACCTGGGCATAAACCGACGAAATCAGTTATGAGTGGCCTAGTGAAGTGGCAGCATTTGAGTGATGTGCCGTTACAATTTATAGATTCTGGCGAAGTTGTATTGCTGATTGGTTGTGATGTTCCGGAAGCCCACTGGGTACTCGATCAACGGTTAGGTGGCAGAAAAAATCCGTATGCAGTAAAAACGTTGCTCGGTTGGACCGTATTCGGACCTGCATCATTTTCGGGATCGAAGAAAAGAGTTAGTAATTGTATGAGTAAGCTGCAGACAATAGAAGATCAATTCCGTAAGCTTTATGACGTAGAATTCGCTGATGTATATTCAAGCGATAAATCGCCGTCAGTAGACGATCGAGCAGCAATAGAAATAGTGGAAAGGGGTACCTTCTTCGATGGTGGTCACTTCGTAGTTCCAATACCATGGAAAATGCATCCAAACAAAATAACGGGAAACTATGAAGTAGCGGCCAGTAGATTACTTAGTTTGAAGGGTAGGTTGTTGAAGGATAGCAACCTACACACTAAATATGCTAAAAGTATCGAAAGTAATCTTACTAAAGGATATGCGCGAAGGGTCCCTGAAATACAGTTGAGGTCAGATTATCTCCCTCGCTGGTATCTACCTCATCACGCGGTAATAAATCCCAAAAAGCTAGAAAAACTGAGGGTGGTGCTGGACTGTGCTGCTAAATTTGCTGGGGTTTCACTGAATGATATGATTTATCAAGGACCCGACACTACAGCAGAGCTTGTTTGTATATTATTGCGATTTCGCAAGGAGGCAATTGCCATTTGTGCCGACGTTGAAGAAATGTTCATGCAAGTAAAGGTCCCTGAATCCGATCAGGGAGCTTTAAGATTTCTATGGTGGCAGGAGGCAGACATGTCGAAAGAACCATTGGAATTTCAAATGACTGCCCATCCATTCGGATCAACGTCTTCGCCATTCTGTGCAAACTTTGCCTTGATCAAGACCGCTCAGACATTCTCTGATGGATATGATAGCTACGTCGTGGAGGCGGTTAGGAACAATTTCTATGTGGATGATTGCTTAGTATCTTTTCCCACTTGTGATCGAGCAAAGAGCTTTGTTAAGCAAGTAAGTGAATTACTGGGTAAAGGCGGTTTTACATTAAAGAAATGGATAACAAATTCGGAAGAAGTTAGGTCTGTTTTGCCTGGGATATGCAAGGAAGGGCTTGTGAAAGAAATGTCTAAAGATTGTGATGTCATTCATCGTACCTTGGGGGTACAATGGGATTGTGAAAGAGATGTTTTCCAGTTTCACTTTGACGCCCCAGAAAGACCGTTTACTAGGAGAGGTATTCTATCTGTGGCATCTTCTGTATTCGACCCTTTGGGTTTAATTTCTCCAGTCTATCTGACGGTCAAACTTCTGCTGCAAGGGTTATGTAAGTCCCAAATAGGCTGGGATCAGCCGATCAATGAGCCTTATATGTCGATTTGGCTAAACTGGGTGAACTTAATGCGACAGATAGGTCACGTTAAAATTCCTCGAGGCATCAAGAATAAATTAGATGAACCTAATGCGCGCGTGGAATTGCATTTGTTTAGTGATGCCTCCGAGATTGGTTATGGAGCAGTAGCTTATGCACGAGTCAGTTATTTGAACGAACCGCCGTATTGTATTTTGTTGTACAGCAAGTCTAGGGTTGCACCTATAAAACCAGTCACTATACCGAGGCTTGAGATGGCAGCAGCGGTATTAAGCGTAAGGCTAAGTGAAGTGCTACAAAGAAGCTTACCCAATTTCTTCTGCGAAGTGAGTTTCCATACTGATTCTATGATAGTGTTGTATTACATTAGAAATACAGGAAACCAATATAGTACCTATATAGCTAATCGTCTTGCTATCTTACATCAGCACACTAAGGTTGAGCAATGGACTTACGTCAAATCGTCGGAGAACCCAGCGGACTGGACTTCGAGAGGTATAAAAAAATTGGCCGACCTTGAGTCGTGGATTAAGTGCCCTACTTTACTGCAAGCCGAGTTCGGTAAAACTGTTACCGTTTGTCCTCAAACTGTTCCGGACAGTATTGAGTTTAGAAAAACTGTCGTAGTTAATTTGAGTAAAGTGAATTATGACAAGTTCCCTATTATTTCTTATTACTCAGACTGGTTAAGATTAGTCAGGGCAGTAGCCTGGTTACGAAGATTTATAGAATATTGGATGATACTTCGATCATCAAGTCGCGAAGGATCCATTCATTTGGGATGCCTGAAGGTCGAAGAGCTTGAAAGTGCTAAGCGTAAGATATTAATGATAGTCCAGAAAGAGGTATATGGGAGATTACTCAGTGAATTTAAGAACAACAGTAATGTGAATAGCCATAATGATCTGAAGCGTTTATCGCCTATGATGCTCGACGGTTTAATATGTGTTGGAGGTCGTCTAAACTACTCCGATTACCCTAATGAATTCAAGCATCCAGTAATATTACCTAGTCGTCACTCAGTGACAGAAATGATAGTCAGACATTATCATAAAGAAGAGGGACACTCAGGGACTTCTCAAGTACTTGCCGCAATCCGAAAATACTATTGGATAGTAAAGGGGACCAGCACGGTCAGGAGAGTGATAGGTAAGTGTGTAATCTGTCGACGGTACATTTCGAACTCAGGACAACAATTGATGGCGCCGCTCCCGGCATGTAGAGTGAAACCAGGCTGGCATAGTTTCGCAACGGTAGGGGTGGATTACTTCGGACCTATTTTAGTCAAAAAGGGAAGGTCACTAGAAAAGAGGTATGGATGTATATTTACTTGTTTGCAAACACGTGCAGTGCATATTGAAATGGCTTACAGTTTGAATACCAATTCACTTGTGATGGCCCTGTTACGTTTTATCGGAAGAAGAGGGAAGCCCTCTGAGATTTATAGTGATAACGGGTCGAACTTCGTGGGTGCAATACCTGAACTAAGGAAATACGTTCGGCAGTGGGACCAACAAAGGATAAGTAATGAATTGTCAGCGAAGCAGATTCAGTGGCATTTTAACCCTCCGTCATCCAGCCACAGAGGAGGGGTGTGGGAAAGAATGATAAGATCCGTACGTAGACTATTATTATTGATCACCAGAGAACAAACGTTGAATGATGAAACTTTAGGCACCTATTTGGTTGAAGTTGAAAGGATATTGAACGATCGACCATTAACCCCGATGGTACAGGATGTTAACGACAAGCCAGCATTATCACCTAACAGCTTGCTTTTGTTGAGGGAATGTGACAGTATAGTTGACGAAAGTAGTATCAGAGTTAATTATGATAAACGCTGGAATTATCTAGCTAACGTGTTTTGGAAGAGGTGGCTGCGGGAGTACTTACCATCCTTACAAACTCGTCAAAAATGGTTGGTTGAGCGTCGTAATTTCGAACCAGGTGATGTAGTAATCGTGGTTTCAGATATTTCCACCCGCGGTAAATGGCCTCTAGGGGTAATTGAGAGTTGTGAAACAGACGAAGACGGAAAAGTTAGGACGGTGACAGTACGTACTAATAACGGGTCTATTAGGAGGGATATACGTAAAGTATGTCTCCTAGAAGGGTCCAATTAGTTGATCGTCAAACAATGTAGACAGAACGAGTAGGTGTACTGTTGTAAGTCCTACCCGTTCTTTTAGTAAGGAATGCGATTAGGTGAACCATGGAAAAAAAACATCAGAATAGCTTGTGCACTATGGAGGGATTTTGGGGGCCGGTGTTGGATCCATTTTGCGAGTGAAAATCCCTCCATGCATACACTTGTGATTTCTTCCTTACGTTTTCTTTATTTGTTTTTGCTGTTAACATTCTTGATGCTAATTGAGACTGTAACGTTCAATTTTTCTTGACTTAACTATCGTTTTTTATTGAGTCTCTACGTTCCTCACTGAATTGTATACAGTTTGTTTTAATTGCTACTATTCTGGCATCGGCCATATTGGCTGCTCGCTTTTGATTGTGCGGTTTGAACTTGACTGGGATCGTGCATTTTTGGTTGTATTTGGAGCACCTTCCCAGAAATTGAAACACTTGGTGTTATAAAATAGCCGCTCAAACGAAATCTCACTTGATCTATCCAGAAAGGATAGAATAACGTTTACCTTTCGGTGCTTTTGGTAGTTTTCATATATTTCTTATCACCTTGCTATTTATTGTAATTTAGATTGGATATTTTTGTATCAATTGTTGGTTGAATAACCGGGTGATAATATTCGTTTAGGTAAATTTGTGCATTTGTATATATGATGAATTACAGAACCGTGTCAAATATATACCTTGTTTTGATTTGAACTGAGACACGAGTGTCTAAAGCTATCTAACGGTTATTCGGCCACATCCAGACCTATTGAAATTTAGGTTTGGATCCTACAAAGTGGAAGTTCTCTATTATTAGAACTTGTGGCCTTGTGCTCTATCGATCGGATCAATGGAGGATTAAACCTGTACTAGCAGTCCAGAGTCATTATCGATCCTTCCTCCTGCCTAGCCATGCCTTTTAACTCTAGAATACAAATATCAGTTTCCGCAATATAAACCATGTATTTCAAACATGTTGGGTTTAAATACAAACCAAACAGACCACATCACATAATAAAATAGAAAATAACATGTGTATAAGATCAAACCAAAAAGTGGCTGTGATTGTGGTAGGCTGTAAGTAATAAACTGGGCGTAACTTGAGAATGGTAAGTCGTATAATTATAGTCTATGGGTCAGAATAGAGCTTATCATAAGAGGAATATGAATAAACATAGTCTAACTACTGAATTATAATACAATAAGAATATATGTATAGTATTAGTCCCTCGGTCAGTCAGTCGGCTACAACGTAGGATCAGTCACATTTTTGCATCTGTCCAAGTTGCCATACCTGATTAGCACAACAAGAACAACAACGGATTCATAAAAGCATATAATTCATTGGTGGTAATATATAAAAGAAAGGTTGTATATAAGGATATAGTATAGGAAGGAAGAAAGTTATAAAGCAATTTTAATCTGAAGGTTTAAGGGAAGATGAATAGTGTATACACCTACGCCATTGTGATCGATTCTGAGCCATGTCACACAGGGTCTCCAACCATTGGTTACGGTGGTCACGCGGACTCCAACCAGGTAGTCTGCATCTGCCAAAATGGCTCAGACTAGAAGTTAGTGACTTCAAGCACTGATGCCATGTTTTAGTTTGGCCGTCCTTTACTCTTTTCCAACCACCCTCCTCGCTAATCAGCATACCGCGTCGTGGTAATCGGTGTTCAGGCATACGTAATACGTGGCCTAAGTACTAATCCATAAGTGGATCTCAACAGTTACCATCCATTATTATCATTGGCATATATCAGTTATATCTTCGTACTTTTTTAGTCCCCAACGTTCGATCAAAATCTTCAAAGTATTTTTATTAAAACCTACTGTATTGTATCTTCACATCAATATCATCCTGAATGATTTTACAAAATTGCCTTTTTTAGCACGAATGTCATAAAAATGGGACACTAAGTTTATACTTCAAAAATGCAACTGTGAATTGTGCCAAAAAAGGTCAGCTAGTACGTTTTAATGTAACTGATGGGAGTACAAGACTTAGTGAGGAAATCATATGCCCTAATATTAAAATGTTTTGCAAGGTACGTTTATTATGTATATGTATAAAGTATAAGAAATGGTAGAAATTTTTTTATAGATTTTCAGATATTTTAATCATCAAAAATCACCATGTGCTCACTAGTGACTAGCTGCGTGCTGGAATTCTCAAAGTTCTAGTGAGAGACCATGAACAATGGAGTCCAATACGTGTTATGTAGAGACAGATATCTACCTCAGACAATAGATGAATGATTATGCAGCCATCTATGAATCTATGGGAGTTAAACAATAACACCGTTAGATGTCGGCTAAATGGTCTAGAGGTCAGGTGATTCTCCACGAGACTGGAAGTCTTGAGTTCGAGTGCCACGCGTGGGATCATGAGTCATCCTACTTACTTTGGAGAGTTTCATATTACTGATTTAGGCAATCACATTATTGTCAGTTCCTACTATTCTCAAAATATTCTGATTTTTAGTTCGGGCAAAAATGATAAAACTAATTCTAAAAACCTTTTTTAAATACAATATAATATGATGATGAAGTCAGTCCCATAATAGGACGAAGCGGCCGTCCAGTGCTTCTACGTTTTCCATGGTGGTCTAGCTTCGATTGACTATTAAAAAAATAATTTTGAAAACGTTTTCAAATACAAAATGATATGATGTTTGGAGGTTGGTTTCTTCTGTTGGTGGGACTATAATTTGTGGAAGACCTTTGAGCGACGCTTAAGTGATCATGACAGTGTTCACCTGATAGCTAGGACTAAATGAAGATTATAAACCTGTGTGAAGAATTAGATTTATGCATTACAGTTGATGGTTAAAGTAAGGAATTAGATTGATAGTTTTCATCTCCAACTGATATAATCTAAAATGCCAAAACTCTACTTATCCATATTGATGAATGAATTTCGCGCCGAAACCAAAGACCTGCTATCTTTTACCTGATTGGCTCGTTCATAAATTATAGTCTTATCCATTTGTTGACTGGGCAAGCATAAACATAGAAACTTGTCAACTTCAAAAACATTCAGAAACATCATGATCAAATGGTTTTTTTTACTTTTCAGGTAAAGGCTTGATCCTTCAACATTGAGGTTTGACAACACTCTACAACCCTCATAGTAAATAATTGTAAATTTTTATTATTATTAATTATTGAACAATAATAATGCGATATCAAATGTATGTCAATGTTTGTTACTAGCAATTGAGTGCGTAGTTGCGTGACCTGTTTGATATATGACGTGATGATCCCCGCCAATTAGAGAGGAGTGAATTATCGATTAGAGCAATGATAAACAAAAAGCAGTATGAGCAGTCTTGAGTACTTATCAGTCCTGCTATCTGCCAAGCCCACCCAACCAGTTAAGTCCAGAACATCAACGACAGTCTCTGCAATATGAATCATTATTCTCAAACATACTTGGCTTATATATCAAACAAACTGACCACATCGTAGCATAAAATAGAAAATAACATTTGTACAAGATTTGGTCAAATGTGGCTGTGAATAAGGGGAACAGCAATTAATGGACTAGAGATAATTCAAGTATGGTTAATCGTATATCAATAGTCCAAGGGTCAAAATAAAGCTTATAATAAATAGGGATACGAATATGAATAGTTAAGTTACTTAATAATTATTCAATAGGGAATATACATATCACATTGGTCCATAACTAGTCCTCAAAAGTTACCATTCATAATTCTCCACGGGATAGAACAATGTTCTATTTTCGGATCTCATAGAGATACTTGTTTTGATTATTCTAATCATTCTTAACATAGTACTTTGTTCAAAATCGAATGTTTAGGTCAATAGTCAAAGATTGATTACATTAGGTTTATTGGTATCTGATATAAAGGTAGGTATGCCGTCGATAATTGTTATAAACGTAGAGGATACTGGTTATAACTCTAGGGGTTTCTGTTATAACAGTCCTTTCACTTCTTACACGTATATGGACGTTAACTTATCTTAGACGAATATCTACACTAGATTCCCACCCAGTGTCTATTCTACAGGACTTGAACAGAACTCAGATCAAGAACACAAGATTAGCCTGACTATAACGTCAATATATTTCCACTCCAAAATCCGACACAAAGAACAGTCAATCAATAAGTGTCCATCAACAAGGAACAGCCAATAAGTTAATAAGTGTCAATACATAATAAGGATAGGGAAATATATATATATATATATATATATATATATATATATATATAACACCTGTCATCCTGTCTAATGTCTGACTCATCAAGACAACCAATCATTATCATTCTCGCCCACACATCACCTCCCTCGCGAAGTTCGATCGTATGATTTCAGTTAAGGGCCTATTTGAAAAAATTCCTTTTGTTTCCGTTTCCTGAATGACCTTCGTCTAACTTCTGATTCGCGATCATTTTTTCTCATTTCAACTTGTGATGGTGGTGGTGGAATATCAAACGTATCACATAATACTTCCATTGGTAATGGTTTGAGTTTAGATGACTCATAAACACATTTTCTATCTCGCAGTTGATGTACATGTCTAATAATTAGTGTATTTTCGACCATCACTTCATATAATACTGTACCACGTCGTTTTTTTATAAACCCAAATATCCATTTTGGCTTGCCAGGCCGGAAATCTCGTGCATAGACTGAGTCACCTACTTTGAACTCTCGAATTTTCGGGCGATTCCCTTTCTTATTTTTTTGTAGTCCACTGATTCTGTCTTACGGGATCAAAACATCAAAAAATGTTGTAATCGGTCGGCCAAACATTATTTCGGCTGGAGATTTCCCATCTTGACAGTTTGGACTTGGCTTAATTCTATAAGAAATGAGAAATTGTTGCAGAGCCTCTTCTACGTTGCCTTCTCCTCCCATCTTTAAGAGAGCTCGTTTAAGAATATCAACAAATTTCTCTGCCTGCCCGTTCGACTTAGTCTGATACTGTGGAGTTCTAACGTGTTCGATTCCATTCTGTTTACAGAACTCCGCAAACTCTAACGACGTGAACTGCGTCCCGTTATCTGAAACCAAAACATTAGGTGTACCAAACCTACCGAATAATTGTCTCAGATGTAGCAGTGTTTCAGACGTAGATGGTCTTCGTACCACATAAATTTCAGGCCACTTCGAGTACGAATCTACCACCACCAAAAAATATTGTCCACTTATCGGTCCAGCATAATCAACGTGTAGTCGTACCCAAGGCTTTGTCGTTTCTGGCCATGGCTGAGATTCTACTTTCGGGGGATCTTTTGCAACTTCGGCACATCGCCGACATCTCAACACGTATTCTTCCACAGCCTTATACATGAATGGCCAATAGACATAACTACGCATAACTGCTTTCATTCCCGGATAACCAATGTGAAACTGTTTAAGCACAAAAAGCTGAAGAGATTTAGGGATAACGACACGTTCGCCATACATCAAACAATTATCGTAAATCGATATAGACTCACGTCTCAGGAAAAATTGGTGAAACTGTCGATCATCTTTGTCCTGTTTCCAATCCTTTAAAACAGCTTCTTTTATTCTTTTAAGTAGAGGATCACTAAGCGTGGCTTCTTTAACTGCTTCTGCCGTTACTGGTAGGATTCTGATAGCATCACAGAACATTCTTTTTATTTCCGGTTCAAGTGATATAGAAGCAACCACTATATCTTCCCCTAACTTGCGGTTATGTGGTATTTCTCTTGAAGTCTGCATCTTAATTCCTTTACGGAACTTATGCTGACGGTCAGAAACTTTTGGTTTACTTTTGCAGCATACTTGAGCATGACCACGTTTACCACATTGAAAGCATACTCGTTTTTTAAAGTAGCAAACATTGGTAGAATGACACTTACCACATCGCCAACATGACGTTTTGTGTTTCACTTGATTTGGGATTTGCTGGGAGTTCGAATCTTTATTTCCATAAAAAGATTTACGTAAAGATAAAACTCCAACGTGTTTACTGTTCCTTTCTACGAGATTCGTGTCATGCTTCAAATTAACTATTCTTTGACACTCTTCGGATACTGATTGTAGACTGATATTAGGATTTTGTTCGATTCTCGCCAGGATCCGTATTCTAATATCCGCATCTACCGGAGATTGTAATCCACATACAAAAATAAGGCACTTGAATTGATCTGAGGACATTTCTGGTAAACGGAACCGTTCACATTCCCGGTTCACGATACTTGCATACGTTACGTAATCGTCCTGTACTTTCTTTACAAGTTGAAGACACTGGTATCTAGTGTGAAAAATTGATGACCGTTCACCAAATATATGAGTCAGGCATTCAACTGTTTCTTTGAACGTTATGTCGGATGGCTTCTTTGGGAGGATAAAATTACAGAATTTTTCGTGTTCGGACACTCCGAGCTTTCTTAATAATAATCTCAATTTTGAACTTTCGTCCCACTCTTTACATTCATTAGTAAATAACTCCTCATGGCGTTTAAACCACGCCTCAAAAGTAACTCTACTTTCTGGATCAAATCTGAATTCAGTTATTGAATTTGCAATAGAATCCGGAGTCATAGTGGAATTAGACACATTCGTTCTTGAGGACAATGACATATTCTTGATTGATAATTCAATAAGAGTATTTTGCTGTTGCAATAAGGTTTTCAGATCATCCATTTTCTTGATACAAAATTCACTTTAACTGAATACGTAAGCGTAGATCCGTCTTAATCACCGTCGCCAATTGATATAAACGTAAGTATGCCGTCGCTAATTGTTATAAACGTAGAGGATACTGGTTATAACTCTAGGGGTTTCTGTTATAACAGTCCTTTCACTTCTTACACGTATATGGACGTTAACTTATCTTAGACGAATATCTACACTAGATTCCCACCCAGTGTCTATTCTACAGGACTTGAACAGAACTCAGATCAAGAACACAAGATTAGCCTGACTATAACGTCAATATATTTCCACTCCAAAATCCGACACAAAGAACAGTCAATCAATAAGTGTCCATCAACAAGGAACAGCCAATAAGTTAATAAGTGTCAATACATAATAAGGATAGGGAAATATATATATATATATATATATATATATATATAACACCTGTCATCCTGTCTAATGTCTGACTCATCAAGTCAACCAATCATTATCATTCTCGCCCACACATCAGTATCTGACCAGGAAATAAGTTGTGAAGCATCTAAGTTGCTTTGAACTTTTCTAGTAAAATAAGTAGGTATGCTTGAACATTTGAAGCCCTAGTTATAAAGATGATTATCTTAAGTAATACAAATGTTGAATAAATGTGTAGTATTGTAGTGTATACTACTTATGTTTATCGATATAAGTAGTACGTAACATTAATCGAAAGTGGAAAACCTAACAATAAATGGCTAAGAAGATAAAGTTGAATAGAATAGAAACGGAAATAGAAGGGAATTATTATTTGGAAGGAACATACAGAATGTGAAGGAAAAATGATGTAAATTTGCAAATGAAGTATTTACTGTTTGAATTTTAGAATTTTCCAAGAACTCTGCAAGGTTATGGTTTGCTCGTCTCCATATGTTTGAAGTTAGGCTGATAATTTTGAACAAAACGATCGATGTATTATATATTTCATAGATGAATGTTGGTGATTGAATCAGATCATATATACGATTGATTGACCATGGACTGGTAATCAATGTCTTATGTGTCACGTCCTTCTTAGTGCTGATCGTATTCTCTCGACAATGTTCCGACATGGTCACCAGTCTTCGTAACCGACATCGTGAACAATATGTTGAGATGAGATGATGATTAGAGGTAGTCGACAGGAAACCCTGATTGTGTACAACTTCATTCACTTTGTGTCATCAGATTAATAAAAGTATGTTATTCTACAGCCTAAACTAGGAATATCTAAATGATGAGTTTACGGCCGAACTTCGTTATTTATAATTAGGAAATTCACTCATTATTTTCATGGGATGTAATACATCAAGTAAATACTTTGTAGTTACTCATCAAGCAAGTAGCCATGAAGTGAAGACTGGTTAAAGCATCCGAATTCTTCTAGTGATAGACATGTAGCATAACTACTGGAGCTATTTGAAAATTATAGTAATGGAAGATTATGATGTAGCTTGGAATATAAGTTTCATGGAAATGAAAATTCTGTTTAATTTTATTTAACAGATTTACTTTTAATATCAGTTGTCTTACTTATTTA